TATGAATACATTTTAATAAGCATATTCTTAATGCTTCTCTTCTAATTCACTGAACATGAGCATTTATCATTCTTGATTCACAGTGAAAGGCATGGTGTGAGGTGAATTACCCTAGTTTTTTTGTTTTTTATTGTACTTGTATGCACATGATTTCTCAGATTTGATACCAAAGTAATAGTGCATAGCTCAGACTAAAGTTTTGAAGTGAATGTTCCCAAGGTAATCTTCCTAAAGACTGATATGTTAAAAAAGGTGTTTGAGTCTCCAGTTTGCAAATGGTTTGTTTATAAATGTAAATTATTCCTAAACATATGCCATCAATTAAAGCAAACCCCTGTTCAATCAAAAGTTACAACCAAATCAACAAAAATGTAAGTTGTAGTTATAGATTCAATCATTAGCTATCACTGTATACAGTAATTTAAGAGACAAAATGATGATGCATGACCTTATTAAAGATGTCTATTTATAATTTATTATTCAAACCTCAACATGTTTATGTTGTGTCACAAAATTATCTAACCTTTTATCAAGTCAAGTATATCTATTACCTCACTAAAATGTGGATGTCATGTACCTGTGGAACAATTGTAGTTAACATATAACCACAACATGAAAGCAAAGAGGAGAACCATAAAATGGTTGTTATTTTGGTCACAATGACTAATATTTTCCTTATATTCATTTAACTCTAGCAGTATGCTTGACTCTATATTTCTTGGTTATATGTTGCTTTTTTAGACAACTGAAGGATGTAGTAAAATATAAAGAACATTATTTGGCTAGCAAGTGAAGCATTCTTTACCCAACCCCAAACATTTATTATGTTCATTGCCTTCTGGGAAGGTTCGATACACTGATGTGTGAAGCCTCTGTACCTACTCACAAAATTTCAGTGGAAAAATAAAAAAGGTGACACATCAACAGCTTCTTTGCTGCTTCACTGAAATGCATAGTTAAATAATTTCTACTGAATAATATTTTCGGAGATTGTTTTTGCTTTGATGTTGCCCACCTGAGCCCTTCAAAAGAAACACCACAAACGTTTCAGCTAAATGTAAAGGTTTATAGTGTAAAAAGCATAGCAATGTTATAAAAATTATAATAAAAGGATCAGCCAGGCTGAACAAACCTGCTTATTTTTATACTAGTTCTTTTTGATAGAATACAGCAATCAATATTTATCAATTTTTATCAGAGTACTACAATAAAATTACTATTGAGAGGCAAAAAAATGATTCTTGTCTCAATTTTGATGATTTAATTTCTGTTGTTTCATGTCAGCACAGATGTTCATGATGAAACAGGTATTTCTCTTACAGGGATGATTGGAAAAACCTTTGACCTCTGTAGAAGTCTTCCTATGTCCAGCAAAATGTCTACTGGGCTTTTGCTTTTAATTCAAAGTCATTTAAATTATTCAATTAAAAACTAACTGTGAAAAAAGATTGTTTTTATCTCTTTTGTTGTAAGTGGTCCCCCAGTTTAGGCTGTACTGAAGTGTAAAGTACACCAGACATCCTCAAGCTTAATGAATGGATGAAGTGGCAGCTGAGGTAATACATCACCATGAGGGGTGGTTTAAGATGAGAGATCACAAATTATGTCACCACAGTCAGATGACTTCCTGGTCTTGGGCCAATTATGCTAGAAGGCTCATCAATTAAACACTGTGACACACAAACAACCAGCGGGGCCAAGGGCCTTTTGGCCTGCTGGACCAGGCAAGAGTCCTGCAGCTGACTTGTCAGATCAATGGGAGATCATTATTAATATACTACCTCAGCACTGTGGGAAACTTACTGTTTTTAAGCATTAAATTTCACAATGGGCCTGTATTACTGAAGACATTTTGTTGTGTCACAGCAGGAAAAATACAGGTGCAAATGAAAAAAATGAATGATGCCTGAGTTCCATTTAGCTGCTTCACTTTCAGGGCCCTGGTATTGTGCATGCTGGCTCACTGTCACGGCTTACTGGGAAACTTCAAACTACAGAGTCGTCGTTAATGTTATTAGTAACACCTGTGTATTTCCAATTATGACAATTCAAAATGTCTGTGAAAAAAGGCCATTGCACAGTAACTGCACATTTAGGTTTTCTTGTAAGTTAATGTCTTGTGTACACTGTTCAGTAGAGCCTAATCAGTACTGAATATTTTAGGCAGCATACGTTTGACAATATCTGGAAGTTAAAAAGATCTGATATATAAAATCTGAATGATATTCAAGATATTCAATTTTATCATAAACCAAAGGTTAAAGATAAGTGTTGCTAACATACAAAGTGCAAAGAAACGTACAAAGTGGAATATTGAAAATCTGCTTGTCTGTTCTCTGTAGTTGACAAACTATTTAGTGGCAACCCTGTTTCTAAATTGCAGCAAACATATCTTTGGCATTTCTATACTGTAATTTCTTGTTACTTATAGGCTAACATATACACTGATACCAATCCATCCATCCATCCATCATCAACCGCTTATCCTGCGTACAGGCGGGGGGCTGGAGCCAATCCCAGCTGACATCGAGCGAAAGGCGAGTACACCCTGGACAGGTTGCCAGTCCATCGCAGAGCATAATATAATTTGGGATAAAAATAACTTAACGCTGTTTTGCAAATATATAGTATACAATATACAATTTCATATAAAAGGGCATTTGTTACTTAAACTTAGATAAACGCCTTCAGGGCATAATAGTTGCACTGCTGCAGCCTGCTTAATTAACAATGCACAGAACTCTTTGCACGAGATCTGTGGCCATCAGTTCTTTCTAAATAATTCAGGTTGGGGTAATTAAATCACCCACATTGAGTGACAGATGTAGGATTAACATGCTGGCCACTGGTTGTGCTGAGCTCAGGCGTTGGGTCTCAGCACTAACTGACACTGGGATCACAGAGGCTATGCTGGAAGCATTTGCCAAGTTTGATTATGTAACATGGCCTGTGCAGTGTATGTAGGCTTTGTTTGACTTTGTGTCACACACACAGAGTAGAAGTGAAGCTTTCAGGATTAGCGGTGGATGGTGTTAATGAACGCCTAATGCATGAAAGAATTATAGATTTTTCATCAGTGTTACACGGGTTGTGGAACTCAGAACTTGACTTTGCTCTGAAAGTGAGCCATCTTTTGATAGCCGTGATGTCAAGCTGGTGTACTGTAATAGTAGGATTAGATGCCAAGAAGTCCTGGATAATTAAGGGCATGTCAGGATAAACTGCCCTGCATGGTAGATGGTTGCTATGTAATCCCAAGCACATGCCATACAGATAGAATGGGTAGCCTATTTGGATGGGTAGACTATGACTTCAGTTACTAAAATAATTCTCAGCAAGTAGAATCCCAAAGTATAGTTGTCCACTGTAGGTCACAATTTACCAACTGGGGTCAGGGCTCTAAGATGCAAAGCTAAAGGTGCTTTTTGTTGTTAGATTTTGCCAACCAAGTAACCAAAATGAAGAAATGCCAGAAAATAGTGGTTATTTCTACCTACCCCTCAGGCAGAAAATGCTGCAATTCAATGATGGTTTGTTAGCAGTACCCCAGAGCAATAAGCGCCACTGGTGCACCGGCCTCTCCCTTCACACTTACGGCTCCTGCAAATAAAACCTATTAATTACCATATGGAGGCTGTTGCCATGTAACCCGCTGGCCTGACAGAGAGAAAAAAAAAGCATGAAGCTGGGTAACAGGCCAGGCACAACCTCAACAGAGACCGACACACCAATGCTAAATACTGTAATTTATAGATAGATAGATAGATAGATAGATAGATAGATATTTCCCACGTCATCATGATATTTTGTCTAAATTACGCAACAGCAAGTTGACACCCAGGATCCCTTGGGAATGTCCCTTCTGTGACTCCCAGGGAACAGTCGATTAAGCCAGCTGGGGCCTGGACTCACACATTTGTTCACATGATATTAAACAAAAAGCTGTAAAAAACCTACTAAAGAATTCTAGTGTCAGTTAAAGGATGTGAAAGGATTCAAGGAAGTGGCCTCGCCAGGCTCTCTGCCAGCCAGCCCATATAGACTAGTTATAATTAATGCTGGAACAAACTCCCTGTAGCCTGGACTCTTGATGACAGAAAAATGAGGGAAAATCGTGTTGAAGGGGCTATATAAAGCTCTTCAGTGTCAAGCCGCATGTGGCTCTGTGACCAACACTTTCACCCTTAAAAGTACTCCCTGTTAGTTCTGGTGATAGTATCACTCAATCAAAGAGTAGAGGTCTGAGGTTTATGTTATTATAACTATGCCTTTTCTGCTTTGACAATATAATCTACAACAAAGGAATTTATATACATGAATATACATATAAGGTCATCCCATGGTGTCAGAAATGGGTGATATGGTACAAAACTGGATCTGATTCAATTCCAATCAAAGTGATATATTTTTATAGGTCACTAGATGTAGATGTAATGTCATCAGATGAACTCTTGTTATAAAATGTAACAATACAGCATGTATTATTGTAAAATGTATATTTAGCAAATAATTAATGATTATAAAGACAAGTATGATAGCATTAATAGAATCCAGAATTAACATATGACGTGAGTAATAGTTGGATTCGGAGATCAATGATTGGTACATACTGAAGAATAAATGATACAGACTGTGTTTTTCTAAACATTTCACAGCAGATCGGTTGTCAACACACAGGCTTGTGTTAGAAAGCTGAAAATGAAACGAAATGAAATGCACTGCTGAGTTGACAGAAAGTACAAACTGATCCTTCGGAGGTCCTGAAGTGTGATGGGAATTCATCCAATGACTGAGAAATTATTTGTAGTCTGCTGCCCAAATGGAAGAGACACAACAGCGCTGTAATACTACCCACATTTGTCGTCTTGTGTAATAAGCCCACCGGTGTTGTCCATTAGCTGTCAACAGTGCACATCAAAAGTACACATCAAAAGACAAATGTACACAGGATTTTAAAAGACACCAACATGTTTTCCAGGCAAAATGAATGAATGGCTGAATTCCATTTAGCTGCTTTTATTCAGGGCTCTGGTATTGTACATTCACTGTACCCACTTGCCATGGCTTACTGGAGCACTTGAACAGAACAGAGCCACCTTTAATGTTATTAGTAACACCTGTGCTTTCCAACTATGACAAGCCAAAAAAAGGCCTATTGCACTTGTCTATCCAAAATTGTTACCAGCTGTCTTTGTCTCAGCCTGCTGATGAGAATCAATGAATTACAAATGACAGTCCTAAAACACATCAGAAGTTTGCTTAAGTCCTAGCTAAGTACCAAGCTAGGCTATCTCAGAAAAACACTAGAGGCCCCGCACAGGTGTTGTCACTTGGCTAATTAGACCTCTGCACACTAAATATATATGATCATGTCAGAGGATGTCAACCAGGCACTACAGTTTACACCCACACAGGCCTGATAAGAGGTTGTATTAAACAAAATTAAAAACACCTCTGTGTGTTATATCGTTTTTTAAAAAGAACTGGTTTCATATTTTGACAGATTATGTTTATCCAAACACAACTAATAAGATGGATGAAACTAGATATCACAGTTGCTGGTTTCTTTTTTTGATACAACCACTGGAGGTCACCAAAGCCAGAAAAGTCCTACAGTTATTATTTGGTGCCATTTGCAGCCGAAGTTGCTCACTGCAGCTTTAATATTAGATTTCCCTATATTCTATATTATTTTAATCATCAGCTCCTCCACTAGTGACTGCGTCCTCCCTTGACAAGACCATTGCCATTGGGAGTGTTAACCTGAGAAAGGGTCTGTGTGCAGCATTAAACACATTATGTGCCTTATCTTCTTTCAGTTACAGTAGGTGCCTTTGGTGTATCCTGATTCATGAAGCAACATAAATGGATAACCTGAGGGGACATGAGGGGGCCACTCTCATTTCCTGGTTCTCAACCCTTGGTAATTACCTGTGTGTGCCCAAAGGCCCTTAGTGTGTTTTAGAGGAAGAGAGAAAAAAAGAGAAAGACAGTGAAGTTATGTACTGTACAAAGAGTAGAATGGGCCTACTGTAACATATACGCAGTTCTACAACAGCTCAGAGGCACAAGCCATGAAATATTAGTTCTATTGACTCCAACTAGGATACTAAGAGTATCCTCTTCAGGCTGTCTGTGGAAACCATACAGGGTAAAATAACATTTTGTCCGCCAGCCAATGGCTAGTGAACGCTCAGTGTGTACCAGACACTCAATAGATCAGTGGTTCTCACACTTTTTCACATCAGGGACCCCTAAACTAACACAAATTAGACCACGGACCCCCATTTGATAAGATTTTGTCCCAGGGTCCCCCATCTGATAGAATCTTTGCTTTTAGATGTTTTATTACAGAAAGTGTACGAAACCCATGACCAGAATAGCCAGACATTCTGTCACTGTGCTACTTATGGATAGAATTACAAACGAAAATAAAGTATTCCCATTTTTGCTGGGGACCTCCTGGAACCACCTCAAGGATCCCTGGGGGTCCACAGACCCCACTTTGAGAACCACTGCAATAGATTACCATTGTTTTTTGGCTGGTGAGAGAAGTAAATCTACCAGCCATTTGTATCTTTTACCAGCATTTGGCTGGTGGCTGGTGTTGATTTTGCACCCTGCATACAGATGGATGGTAAATGAGTTAGCTACCACTTTCCCTTAATTGATCTGATAAATAGTACATAATACACATAGTTTTGTTTGTGTTATTTCCTGAGGTTTGAGGATAACAGCTGTTGTTGAGCCCAGTACAAATGATCTCAGAGGTATTTTATGGTGCACAAACCACCTATGAAGTTACATTTGATAAACTGATAAACATCTCAAAAATAATAATATTCATACAAGGTCTTCCGTCTGTAAAAACAAGTCCTAGATCCAAGTATTTTCTGTAAGATGATTTGGGGGGTCTTTGAATACCATAAATTAAATGCCAGTGAGTTCCATTGTATTTGGATAACCTAAAGCCATTAACTTCAGCAAATCACACAGTAACTGAGAAGAACAAAAGGAGTCAGCAAAACTGGGTTTGTCCCAACAGTGAAGTCATGAGAACAGACTCAGGGCTGCGACTACAGTCTCTCTGGTCTCCCCAGGGGTAGACTCAAATCTGTCAGCACCCTTCACTAATGCAGCTCTCAAGGGAAGGCAAAGGGATAGGAACCTTCTCCCCAAATACCCCATCACACACACATATACATACACCTCACACCCTCATTACCCCTCCATCCCTAGCTTACCTAGGTTATGCCAGGACGTGGATAGATCATCTCTTGCTGGCTGGCATCGCTACGTCCCAGGACACAGGCCTTGCTCTAGCTAGGACAATGTCTCCGGTGTCAAGCAAAATGAGGGTCTTTGTTGCAGCAGACTCAATACAGGACCTTCACATGCAGAGGTAGTTGGGTGGTTTTGATATGGACAACAGTATCCCTTTAAACATGATGAAGGACTGAGTGCAAAACTGGAGTTAGAAAAACTCTGCAGACTATGCTTGAGTTGAATGTTTTATATTAAAAACACTTTCAGTTCTGTTTGTGGAGGCTTCTGATGTAAGAACCTACACTCATTTTACAGTAAATCTACTGTTTCTCAATAAAGGTTAACTTTGCATTGGACTATTTTCAGTTTCCAACTGACTGCCTGGTATGGCTAGGATATTGAATGTTTTCAAGACACATGTTTTCTTCTCTCTACACTTCTAAGGTGTGACATAACGTTAAAAAACATTTTTTTGTTTTTGTTTTTTTAAAACCTGTTGAAAAGGACTGTGCTGACACACAAAAGATGAAACTGCAGTGAGGCAGTGAATCACACAACTGAATGGGGTGGTTACATAAGACAACAAAGCATTTCACTGTATGCCATGGAATAGATCATTTGTAAAGATTAAACAAAGTTTATGTAAATTTGATATTACTCACGTAGTTAACCCTACCTGACAGCAAGACTAATTTAGATATAAGACTTTTGTCTGTAGCCTGCTAACGTTTGGTCGTGCGGTAAGTTAGTTTTTTAGGATTTTCTCGGCTTTGGTTAAATAAACTCAGTAATTAAGTAAAATGCCAGCTAATTAATAGTTTGTAAGTATTTCTCCAGTTGGTGAGTTTCGTGTTTTGTTTTCAACCACATAATTCAATGCAGGGTAAATGATTTACTTACATTTCTCCATGCCTCAACATACAGTGCCGAGCTTTGACTCTTACACTTGTAAATTACGACATCTTGTGATATTGCTAAGTCATTACCGTTGAGCAGTTAGTCCCTTCTCTGACCAATCCACGGAAGGAATACTGAGACGTCACGATATTGACCAATGAACGCTCACGTATTTTACAGAAGAAGAAAAAAATGGCGTCCGTTGTATTGTGAAGAGGAGAAGCTACAAACAAATATCTTTTATGTTTTGAAAAAAAATAGAATAAGTCAGGTAAGCATTATATTTAGTAGTAACGCACTGTGGCTGGCGTTTTTTTTAAATTTACCGTGGCATTTCTGTGTTTTTGCACCTAGCAAAACAGCGTTATCTCAATTTATTAGTTATGAATGACATCGATAGCTAACGGCTAACGTTAACTTCAGACAGAAAAATTATGGATAACGCAAGTATCTAAAGAAAGCTAACGTTTGACTGAGTGGTGTCCCATATAAAAGTTAACTCAAAATAGCTTTAATGGCTGTGTCTTGGACATGTGGTGTTATTTTTGACAACTGTGTGGTTGTTTCTGACAGGATGAAGGTGGTGAATCTGAAGCAAGCCATTCTGCAGGCATGGAAGGAGCGTTGGAGTGACTACCAGTGGGCCATTAACATCAAGAAAAACTTTCCAAAGGGAGCGACATGGGACTACCTTAACCTTGCAGGTTAGAGGAAAGATGTTGAAGTTCCCAAGCCATCATGCTAATTATGTGACTTTACACAAGTTTTCCCATTTCTGTTGTGGCTTAAGATGCTGTTTGTGTGTGATGTGAATTCCAGAGGCCCTGATGGAGCAGGCGATGATTGGCCCCTCCCCGAATCCTCTTATTTTGTCTTACCTCAAATATGCTATAAGTTCCCAGGTGAGCAGTGTAATGAACATGGTGTAACAGAGCAGTGTGTGAAACAGATTTGATGTTATTTTGTTAACTTTTCCTTCTCTCTCCTTAGATGGTGTCTTATTCCAGTGTGCTGACAGCCATCAGCAAGGTAATGTATGCTTGATGAAAATGATTGCAAGTGTTTTACTATAAGATATGAGAGGTTTTCATGAATGCGTCTCTTCTCTGATAGTTTGATGATTTCTCTCGGGAGCTGTGTGTCAAATCACTGTTGGAGATAATGGACATGTTTTGCCATCGTCTCAGGTATGTAACATTATCCATGGTGACAGTGTTGTCCTTCTTCTGATAATGTTTTATGAAGCTGGGAGTTTATGTAAGAATGGAAAGGCTATTGTTTATGTATATATTGTTTAGGTTATTGTCGTTCATTTTACTCTAACTTCACTCGGATAATCTGCAACTCATCCAGCAATGCTGCTTCTAAAGCTTTGGTCAGTGCTAGAAGTAGTGAGCATGTAATACCAAGATCAGCCTTGTTTCACAAGTTAACCTTTGGTTTTAGAACCAGCTTTTCTCATTGTCCTTGAATAACAACTATCAGCTACAGCGGCATACCAGTAACTCTTAAAGAGCTACCCAGGATCTTTGAGCATTTGATCTCTCTTAATTAGGATTCATACTGCGTAGCGGTAGAACCCTATTGTTTTTGTGTGTTTTAGTTATTATTATTATTATTTGTTGTCTGCCGCGCCGGCTCAAATTCCCGTGAGCTGGAATGAGCTAGAAACATGAATCTTGGGGGAATAACTGGAAATGGTGTGCATCAGTTTCCATAGAAATATGAACTCAAACAGCTACATGGTGGCGCTGTAAATAAGGCTTAAAAATGCAAACTTTGAAAGGCCACGCCCCTCACGCCTTAAGATTGACTCAAAATTTCTCACACAGGTGCAGCTCAATGTGCTCTACAAAAAAGCCTCAAGGACTATTAAGGTCCGCCTAGAGTTTTTTTCCGCCATTTTGAATTTTTTGAAAATCATATTTTTGACATCTCCTCCTAGACTGTAGCTCCGGTTGCCACCAAATTTTCAGAGAATCATCATTGGATCAAGCCTATTAAAAGTTGCATAAAGCATGTCGACAACTCAATTACTTTTCAAGATATGAACCAATGAACTTTGAAAGGGGTGTGGCTATGGACATAAATGACCACAAATCGGCAACCGTAGAGCCAATCATCACAAAACTCACAGGATATGTTCAGATAGGTGCCCCAGATATACCTGGACAGTTTGATGTACATACGTCACTAGGGGGCACTACAAGCACAAGACAGGTGCTTAGCATTACACAAATTACACTATAAATCCCATATTCATTCTGAAATCATCACAAATCTCTCAGGATATGTCCACATAAGTAAATGAAACATGCCCTGAAAGTTTCATTCAAATTGAACACCCGAGTGCGCTATAAATGCAAACAAACTGCAGGGGATAAAACGCAAAACAGGCTACAAAATGCATAGTGTTTGTCCAATCAACACAAAACTTGCAGGATATGTCTAAATCAGCCCCTCACGCATACCCTGAAAGTCTCATTCAAATCCACCACTAGGGGGCACTATGAATGCATCGTAACTGGATGTGGAATAATACAAATCAAGCTATAGATCAGAAAATGGTTGTCCAGTTGTTACAAAACTTGCAGGATGTGTTTTATAACAATGTTGAACCGTATGTGTGAAATAATTTTGATGGCGATATTGTGAAAAAAGGTATGAACCCGCGAATCGCCGCTTGCGGGTATATTTTTTAAATTATGTTTGCTTAGTAAACAAAATGTGAATTTGGTTTTGGAAAAGCCATACATTTCATTTAAGCTGTCTCTGACTCACTGCCTCTCATCTCTGACTTTAAAGCTGTCACGGGAAAGCAGAGGAATGCATTGGGCTGTGTCGAGCACTGCTGGGGGTGGTAGTTTGGCTGCTGCAGGGCTGTGCCTGGTACTGTGAGAGGCTGAGAGAACTTGGCCCATCAGCCAGCACGGAGGCCAGTCTGAGAGCTTGCCAGGAGAGGCTTCACACACTGGTGAACAGCACCAAGAACAGAGCCCTGGTCCACATTGCTCGGATGGAGGAACAAGGTGTTACGATGTGTGTGTGTGTGTGTGTGTGTGTGTGTGTGTGTGTACATAGGATTGTGCAAAATGGATTATTGCACAAACATTATGCTTTATAAGCTAATGTGTGGTGGTACCAGCGAGTATCTGAATAAATTTTTTTTTATTTTTTTTTTTATATTGGATATCTGCAATATTATAATACCAGTTCTATATTTTGTTGGGTGTGATTGATGAGGCATCTTACAGTGTTTCTGCTGCAATTCCTCCACAGGTTCCTGGAGCAACGTAGAGCAATCAGTGCTGAGAGTGACGGAAGGCCTTGGCAGTGTACCTAACCCGACACTGATAACTAAATTAGAGGAGAGCTTGTCACTAGTAAAAGGGTGAAGATTCCTATCTCATATTAAATATTGAACACACAGAGATTAAACTTTGGTGTGATGCTGCTCAGCTGTGACATGGCCTTAAAGACCTTCACAATCAATGCATGTCTTGCTAACTCTTCACTCCTTCCTCAGTATTCCCCTGATGCTGTCTGTGCAGTCTGACCCACTGCACCATGCCTCCTTCCCATCAGTTCACGCCTTCATCATGCTGGAAGGGACCATGAATCTGACAGGGGAGACACAGCCGCTGGTGGAGCAGCTGATGATGATCAAGAGAATGCAGGTGAACATTTAGTTGCAGAGAAATGTAATGTTCTAAATCTAAATCAAACTGCTTTGCAAGAATTAAAAAGGGGTCTAACTAAACCTAAAGAGTCCAACTTTCTGTGGAAAGAGCATTTGTTTATTTCAGTGTGAAGGATTGGCTTTGAATGTATTCATTTTTTCATGCAAGAATTCAGATACAATTCACAAGTCATAATAAGACTGCTCTATTTTTACACGAAATCTTCCCTCATGTTGCTCTCACTTTAACATAATATTTGGTAGACAAAGGAACTTAAGGGTTTTTACTTAATTGTATAAAGTTTAACATTTATTATATTAAATTTTCAAATGTTTCCCTGTTACACTGTTCAGATATAAAGGTGTATGCACGGTGCGATTTGCAGGGGGGGGTGCACCCTGGGTGTATGTCAGTTGTTCTGTGTATTTCTGGTTTTTTTTTTTTAGCAGCAGTCTCAAACTGTTTGTCCTCCGTAGCGAATTCCCGCTCCTCTTTTTGTCCTGGAGATCTGGAAGGCCTGTTTCACTGGCCTCATTGAGTCACCTGAGGGCACTGAGGAGCTCAAATGGACTGCCTTCACATTCCTCAAGGTAGGCTCTTCTTTTAAAGAAAAGGAATGCTCCCTCTATATGCTGTGAGCTATAGGCACTGGTGACACATTACATAAGCATTGTCACATCTATGCACACTCAAACCACTCTTAAAGAAATCCATTTCTTGTTCCTAGATCCCACAAGTTCTGCTCCGACTAAAGAAGTATCCTCAGGGTGACAGAGGACAGGTAAAACAGACACCATCATGAGCATTAAGTATTCCCAAGCAGCCATGGTCTAACAAAGCAATAACTGTGTTAAAATGTAATAAGATGAACCTTCACTATCGCTTTTAAACGCAGCAAATGTGTTTTCCAGGACTTCATGGACGACGTGAATATTGCATTTCAATACTTACTGAAGCTCACACCACTGCTGGACAAGGCTGATCAGAGATGCAAGTCAGTGCTCAAAAATCTTGCTACACCCTTCTTCGCTGCCTGTAATTTCATTGTCAGACTTTCAAGATAAGAAAGCCTGCTAAATGTCTGATAAGCCAGCACCATGATCATCATTCTTCTTGTGCTTCTTTGCATAGTTGCGACTGCCTCGGCATGCTCCTGCAGGAGTGTAATAAGCTCGGTCTGCTGTCAGATTCCAACACAGCCTGCCTCACTTCCAAACGGTACAGGTTCCTATCGCGGAACATTTCAGGAATTCTATTGGTTAATATGATCACGGATTAAATGTTGTTCAACACATTCACACAATACACCACATCCCCCAATCCCTCCACCCTATCTCTGTCTCTCCTCTGCACCCCCCCACCCCCAACCCCACCTATCCCTCTCCCCTTGCACATTTGATTCAGGACCGAGGACAGGGAGTTCGCCCCAAGGCTTAAGACAGCAGAAAATGCTAACATCCAGCCA